TTTGTGCATTGCGAAAAAGAATTCTAATTGGACTGAAGCCAAACTCTCTCTTTTGTGTTTAAAGAAAGACTTCTGCTAAACGGATACTAAAATTAATTGAGTACACCCTATGATCTAAATACACCCAAATATTTTAATTAAAATGTAAAATTAACTAAGTACTCCCTCTTTAACTATCTAAAATACTCCTGATACACTCTAATACACTCTACTTTGTGATGAGAGTCTTTTTGAACCTTAGCAATTGGAAAGTATTTGCAGGGAGGCACATAAATGGGACATAACAGTTAGAAACCAAAAATATATAGAGTTGAGAAGTATAATGAGTTCCAAGTTAAAGCAAAGAGGGCCTACTAGTTTAGTTTGCCTATGAAATATTTTCAAAAAGGATGTATCCAACGCCCAGAAAAGAAAAATCAAGAAAAATTGCATAAGACACGAATGAAGAAAGTAACCTTAATTATATCCATGGCTTCTTTTGCTATATGAGACTGTTGTTAATCAAGATTATACATTCCGCCCATTAATCTACTTAATCAATGATGTTGATTGATTGGTGATTACCTAACAAGAGAATATTGTCTCCTTCAGACTAGAACCTCTCAATACTGAAGTTTTTTTTTTTTTTCTCGCACATTGGTTCCATTTGTTGTCATCTTTAGAACTTAAACACATTTGTTACTGAGTAGAAGTGAGGTTTTTTTAACATGTCGGGCCTTTTGAATGAGGTTATATATAATAAGCCTTAAAATGTGAAACTTTCGAAAAATAAAAAATTTACTTTTTTTGGTCATTCGCTAGGGAGGGGAAAGGGGAGGGGGAGTATTATATTAGGTTGTCTCAAGATTGTTTCTTATGTGAAAAGAAAAATCTCAACCCATCTCCCACTCTAACTTTGAAACACCAGCAACAACGAAATTCGATTGTTGGGGAAGATTGAGAAGACAGTGGACATCTTGACATTGAGTGAAAGCTCGTGCCTCAAGTCCTTCCCCTGGCTTTTATCTCTGGATTTTACTGAGAAAGTTTGTGCCTTTTGTCAACTATGAAAGAGAAAAAAGAGAATTTGTGCATTGCGAAAAAGAATTCTAATTGGACTGAAGCCAAACTCTCTCTTTTGTGTTTAAAGAAAGACTTCTGCTAAACATATATTAAAATTAACTAAGTACACCATATGGTCTAAGTACACTCAAATATTTTAATCAAAATGTAAAATTAACTAAGTGCATCCTCTTTAACTACCAAAAATACCTCTGGTACACTCTATGAGAGAGTCTTTTTGAACCTTAGCAATTGGAAAGTATTTGCAGGGAGGCACATAAATGGGACATAACAGTTAGAAACCAAAAATATATAGAGTTGAGAAGTATAATGAGTTCCAAGTTAAAGCAAAGAGGGCCTACTAGTTTAGTTTGCCTATGAAATATTTTCAAAAAGGATGTATCCAATGCCCAGAAAAGAAAAATCAAGAAAAATTGCATAAGACACGAATGAAGAAAGTAACCTTAATTATATCCATGGCTTCTTTTGCTATATGAGACTGTTGTTAATCAAGATTATACATTCCGCCCATTAATCTACTTAATCAATGATGTTGATTGATTGGTGATTACCTAACAAGAGAATATTGTCTCCTTCAGACTACAACCTCTCAATACTGAAGTTAAAAGTAGGAGAAATGGCGAGATCATAGGTAAAATGATGAGCATACACGTGGCCGAACAGTGCTAACAAAACCTTTTTTTTCTTTTTTCTTTTCACAATTCAATATATTAAAATGAGTAGGGTTGAATATGATGAGTTTTGATGAGTTTTGATGAGTTCAGGGTGTTAAACCGTTTGAAAATCTTATTTAAAATCCTAGTAAGTAGAAGATACTTACGGCCCATGGGCCATACCCACAGGCCGCATGGATCATTTGGCTTCTGGAGAAATCTAGAGACCCACAGAAACCTCTCTCTCTCTTTCCAAGCACTTGCCTCCTTCCTGCTTTTTACAGAGACATACTCCTAACCCTCCCAAAGCTCCAGACTTTCAGGTTGTCTCTCTCCACTCTCCACCAATCCAATCAAATTAAATCCCAAAACAGTAAAAAATCAGCAGCATCCCAAATTTCATAATTCTTTAGGATCACAAACGCAGTGCAAAAATCATCCATGGAAGACCACTTTGTCTCAGAAGGAATGCAGATGAAGACGATGAAGAAGAAGAGGAAGGAGGTGGAGGAGCTTGACCAAGTCAACGATGACTTCTCCGACTTCTCTCTGTCTTCACCTGCCAGAAAGATTCGCCGCCTGGTATGCAAAAGTTTCAATCTTTTCCGCTTCTCTACTTCTCTTCCCAATTCTGTTGATTGTTCTAATTCAGTATTTTCTGTGTCACAATTGATGATATAGGATGCTCATCTGCCACCCATTATGGAGGAAGAGGAGGCTGAGTTTTCATTTTCAGCTGCTCAGAATCAGCTGAAATCAGATGCTCCATTTATTGAGGAATTGCCCTCAGAAAACCAAGAAAAGGCCATTGTGCTCTTCAGGCCTGTCAACAATACCCCAGTCTTCTCTGTCCATTCTGACTTGATTTCTGGCTTCAAGGGTATGTTTGGCAATTACCCATTTGAATTTTTTTATTTGTTTTGAATGATTTCAGTATTTGATGATATGGGTTATTGGTTTTACAGACCAATTTCTGCGCTCCAGCCATTTTGGTCTGAGATCATCAGCTGAGGAAGATGATGAGGCAGTGCAAAGCAACAGCAATCATTGTAAAGCTGTTGTTCCTTGGGTTCCCAGTCATCTATCTCCTGCACCATCAATGGAGGTTTCACAAGCAGACCCTCCAGAGGAGCTGATGGAGGCTGAGGAGATGGAAACAGCAACAATGGAGATTGAAGAAGAGAGCCCAGCAGCAGGGCAAGCCATGGCAGATGGGTATGGTGGTGGGATGTGGACAAGTAATGAAGGCTTTCCTCAGTGGCAGCAACAGCATTGTATGATTCCACAGCCTCCACACAACACAACCACACCCATCACATGGCTGCAATGAGACCCAAAGGCACAGGGTTTCTGGGTTGGAAATTTGGATGGTGCCTCATTCTTTTTATTGTAGTCTTTTCAACTAGGTTATATTTATATATAGATATTGTAGGTGTTTTTGCTCACAACAATCTGTTGAAACACCTAAAAAATAGTGTTGTAATGTTAATATTTGCAGTGTAGGAACTTGTAAAAGAATGATTTGCATGTATTATGGCTTTAATGATCCAGTTCTAGAGATTAATAATCTGGTTTGGAGTTGCTTCGGAATAGATAGACTCTAGGGCTTAGTTTTGGCTTTCATAAGAACTATCTTGAACTCAACTCCAATTCAGTCCAAGCCGAATCACTGAAGAGGTGTGCTGTGCAAAGAATTATGTGATCTCTAGGCCTTAGTTTGGTTTGTCATGGGCACAAGGGCTTGAACTGTACCGTGCTGTGCAAAGGATTGTATGATCTCTAAATCTCTCTAGTGACCCCGAGTTTTTACTTCATCAGAGGAGGTTTAAGATCAAATCTCTCAGGCATGGGGCTTGTAGCTGAACTGGTAAAGAGCATTTACCCCTGCACCCAAGGTCTTAGGTTCAATTTTACTCTTCCCAATATTGCATTTATAAAAATAAAAAATAAAAATAATAGATCCAATCTATCTAGAGGACAGCTACGTTTGTTTACACAGCATAACTTTATGAATCAAAACTGTGAGAACAATGGTATAAAAAATGGGATAAGTGTAAACACCCAAATAAATTGATTATAAATATGCACAGGGAGTTTGACGAGGTTAATACATTATTGAGGAGATTCTCATCTATATTCTAACAGAGATACATGGAAATGGGAAAAATAAAGGCTATGCAGAAGTCTGATGGGGGTATCCTTCTATGTCGTTCCCTTCTATTCTCTTCTTGTCCTTCTAGCAAAATGGCAGTTCCGATGGCCTGAACAACACATAGCTCTTCAATGACTGCCGATCGACTTCACTATTTTAACTCATAAGAGAACTATAGAAGAGCTAGTCTCCTGAGACATATGTCTTCTGTGCATAGTATTTCTTTTCACTCTCTGCCTTTTTCGCATTGCGTTTCTGCATCAAAGACAACAGGAGGAAGAACTCTATCAGAACTTTAGAAAGCAGCCTTTTTTGCACATGCAAAAGATATGGTTAAGACGTGTTAAAACACATCACTAAAAGAGATGCAATATGTTAATGAGCTTTATTAAGAAAGGCTATACTGGTTTAAAGATTAACACCAAATAAGATAATCTCAAGAGAACATGCCAGAACTCCTTAAAATCATGATATAGGATTTAAGCCAACACAAACAAAGATGGCCACTTTTCTTGTATAAAAGTTATTAAATATGGTTTCGTATCTATCTCTTGACATTTGTAGTGCATACAAATTACAATCCAAACGACTGATAAAGATTTTTAAGTTACCATGTAAGCATCATGATTTGCAATTATCCTCTGCGATACTGATGTTGTTGTTATATTTTTGGGGCTTTCAAGTAATTTGAAAATCCCCATGCTCTTGGGAACTGAATAAGGATCCCTTTCACCCTGCACCATAAAATAATCCCATTCAATAAACCAAGTCTCAGCTGTAAACAACAAAGTTCAATAGTGATCAATTTTGAAAAAAGATCCATCAACTTACAGTAAACAAGGAGTTGTACTCGGAAACTGTCCCGTGCACAACCAATGAAATGTTGAAAGTTGTTACCTGTCAATGCAAGAATATAAACCTCAGATACAGTGATTAAAACATCTAAATCAGGCATTGCATCAGAAAGATTACACTATTAACAAAATGCAATGAGTCAACAATGTGTATGAGGAAGAGATGGATGGGGGGAGTGAAAGATGAGAGGGTGATAAAATACAATGACTTGGTACACAATAAAAAGATAATCTGATACATTTACTCACCATGTCCATGGTAACTTCCCAAGGAGCACCAATGATGACCTCATCAACATAGCGGCAACCCAATACACTAAGACTACGTTCGTGTAAATGCATAATTGGATGGTGCCCTCTGTGTTCACTGAAAGTAAGAAAATTTTAGTTAATTTTTCATCTTTTTACAAGTTTACCCTTTTTTGACCAAGGTAGACAAGAAGATAAAAAATTTATGCTTATCTTCTAAATATAAAGACAGAAAGAGAATAAAATTTTCAAGGTGTAAGCATACCAATGAATGAATTGATGTCAACTCAAGAAAATGGACATACCTCACAGTTTCGTCATTGTGGATGCCAACGAGTAGAAAGTCTCCAAGCTGCCTAGCATTCTTGAGGATCTGAGCAAGCACCCACAAAAATGAAAAATGGCCTTCATATAATAAATGATGAGAAAGAGATTTTACAGCTCTTCATATAGAAAAGGGAGAATGCTGTAATGAAATCTCCACAGTATGGAATTACCAAACAGGAGTCATTATGAATGTCACCTGGCAACGTTCAGTTTTCAGATACAGCATACACCTTATGTGTTGCCAGAAGGCCAAACTTAACCCACAAGGCTTCAATGGGTACCCTTACAACTAATAATTAGCAGACTACTATAACGATCCACAACAGCATTTCATATATTAATGCAATGGTAGAATCTATTTCTCTCTTAAAGCAATGGCACTAAATCATGAAAGATGGTGAGTGCTAGAGCAATACTAGATTGAAGATAAGGACATGTCACCTTAGAGTGCATTATAACAAAAGACCATCATGAAGGCTATTTATAAACTACTTTGAGTTTATATTGGAGCCAGAAAACATCTAGGATAAGGCAAAAAAATTGTCACTACTAGGTACACCTACAACTTTGAAACTAGATGCAAAATAGGAAAATGTACTACAAAGATTCAACTTTAAACCATTAAAAAAGAGAGTAAATGTTTGCAAGAGTAACTCAGATATATAGTTGTACCTCAACATGTCCAGCATGAAAGAGATCAAATGCCCCATCAATGTACACAACACGAGCATTTGGTCCAGGTCCCTGAGAATATGGAAGGTCTCGTCATGGAGAATTAAAAAACACATTATGCCCAAAAAAACAAAAACCAAAATTTACCCTTCCTATTTTATCTCTACAAAATAAAATATATACGAAAGAAAATGAAACCTCAATTCCAAGCTACGTTGAAAAGTGATTTACTATGTTATCCAAGAAATGGGAATTACAGGGTGACTTCTTGGTCTTTACATATACCCCAAAAAGAGGTCTGTTTGTTCATTTTCAAAGATACTTATTCTCAAATGTCACTAGATGCATTGGAGCACAAGATCCTCAAGAGGAGCATAGTCTGTAATATATGAAATACTAATTACTTTTGAAAAACAAGTTAAAATTAAAGGTGCCAAGATAGCATGTGAGGCACACCTTTCCATTAGAGAATTGCACAATCCGTCGAGATGTTGGTAGAAACTGAGATAAATGGGCACTCTTCGGTTGACTTTCTGGGGTTTTATGCAAGGATGTTTTGTTTTGATCTTCACCACCATTTGTATCCCTTAAAGAAGAGAGTATCCTCCCTACATGATTATTGTTAGACCAACTGAAAATAAGAAAATGTTTTCGGTATGCAATTTTTTAGCTGTCTAGGCAGATCGTTGATCAAATGTCTTCACTTCTAGCAAGCTTGACCGTAATAGAAGTCACAAGTGGAATTGCATAATAACAAAAGCCGTCTGAGGGAGATAAAGAGAATCATAGTACCTACAATATCTGTGCTGGAGACACCTTCAGTTCGTTTAATCTGCTTGTAGCGGCCAGCTTTTTTTGCCAAGGCATAAGCATCAGTTCCATCTGGCAGCAGGCAAGGATCATCACCATGTATGATATAGTCAATCTTATGCTCATTGAAGAGTCTGCTCATGAATTGCTCAGTAATTTCATATGGAGCTTTCGGTATGACTTCATCCACCCACTTCAACCCACTAACAAGAACCAGTCTAGAAAGAACTTCAAATTAGATAAGAATAACTAGTTGTATGTATTGCATACAACGATCTTATTAAATTTTATTAAAGGCCAACTAAATTGTGCAACAGGAGATTATACAACAGTCGCAAGAGTTTCTATTGGAACAATACAAAGTATGGATGGACCAAATAGTTCATTCTAATTCCACTGTTGCTGAATAACACTATTAAGGAACCCAACTCTGCAAAATATGTGGATAAACTGCTTCATATCCATGTATAACAACATAATCTGTAACTTAAGTTAGTAAATAAGTAACAAAAGGTCCAACTCGAACTCACATAGGAAGGTTTTGGCATTCCAATATAAACATGTGTTCTTGAGAATGAGTGTGTTATCGTTGATATTTATGTGCATAAACACTAACCTCTCTTCCATGGATAAAACAGGTGGACCTTTATTGGCAATGATCTCCTCATCACTAACAACACCCACCACCAACTCATCTCCCAAAGCCTTGGCTTGCCTCAAGGCATTGGCGTGGCCATAATGCATGAGATCGAAACACCCATCCATGTAAACACGAATGCGCTTCTTCTCACATTTCTTCTTATGGAAAATCCCGGAATCAGGCCATAAATAAGGCAACTGAGGAACTGTGATTCCACCGAAATAGCTGGTGGACAAGCCGAGTAAGGCAGCCGTGAGCATTAGACCACCAAAGACATGAGGGTGATTATACATTCCATCCCAAATCCACTTGTTAGTTTCATATTCCATGTTGCCACACTTTTTCCTCTGCTTTATATTTTCTCTCAGCTCTACTTTCTCAGTAAGAGGAGACACAAAACCTGAAACCACAATGGCACAAAGAAAATCAGAAATCAACATAGCCGAATAATTGGAATATATTTTTGTCTACTTCATACAAAATTCACATTGGTTTTCTTCCTCTGGCGTGAGATTTAAACTTCACAGAAATACAAGATAAATGAAAAACACTAGACAAATCTAGAGCTTGAAAATACCAAAATACACCAAAAATATGTCAAAAAGAAAAAAACGCAAATAATAAAGAGAATTTGGGAAGTATATTATTTGGAAACCGTGAAGAGGCGGTGCAAAGGAAAATCATTGAAAAGTTATTCACTTGGTTCAGCAATAAGACAATTCTGTGAAATTAAGGGATGCAAATTCTAAGCCCATCGATAAATTAATGCTGCATGGCGAACCAAAGATTCAAGAGAATCGTTGAGAAAATTCCAAATACAAAATTTAATTCTGAATCTAAACAACAAACCCACCTGAAATTCAGAAATAATTGAAAAGAAAATGGGAAGAGATGTACAATGGAATATAAAAAATTTAATGTTAAAAGTAAAAAAGAGAAAATGGGAAGAAACCTGGGCAAAATGGAATTGAGAAGTCCAAGGAAAAACAAAATCAGAAATGAAAAATATCAATGAATTGAGTATTTATTATGCTGACCCAGATCTAAAATAATGGTTCTTTTACAAGAAAGTTGGAAAATTTACCTTTTTTGTGTTCGAGCTCTGTGTCTCCTCTTTGCTTCCTCTCCGGTTTTTGGGTGGCCTTGGAATTGAAAATGGGAAATGAAATGAAACAAGCCAAGCAAGCCTGTTTCTCCAAGGTTCTTTCTTACAAGCCTCTCTGGCTTCAAATAAATCTCACCTTTTTTATATTACTGAATTAACGCCACTGGGTGGCCCCTGGGGCCGGCCCCACTTGCTCCTCATGAACCTCTTTCGTCCTTCCATGTGGACCAGAGATGCAAGCAATGTGCTTGGCTAGCATTTTACGTGCACTATTTGTATTTCCCTTTTCTTTGGGGAGTTTGAAGTGTTATTTAAGGATCTGTCGTTGAATTGTCACTGTTAATGATTTATAGTTCACATATGCATGTCTTCAGATATTTTTCTTGTAATAACTCTCGAGAAGTGCACCGGGTTTGTAGCTTAAGTACTATATTTGTACTCGAAGTCTTAGGTTCGATTCCTCCTTCCTCATTTTGCTACTTAATCTTCAAAAACTCGGGACTCACCCTGAATACTAGGCCGAACATGTTAGTACTAACATTTGTGTATTAAATACTTCCGTTTCAGATAAGTTTTTCATTTATACAGAAAGATACTATATTTAAACAAATTATATTATTTGTGTAATATACGCATATATACATATTTTCACCTACCAAAATTAATAATATTAAAATATTATGTAACGGCTGAATTGTTGACATAATGTACATGTTCGGTAGTTTACTTAACGCAGAAGATTCCATTTAGTATTCTAAATCAAACCTGGTAGGGTTGATTCCTCCTTTCTCATTTTGCTACTTAACCTCCAAAAACTCGGGACTCACCCTGAATATTAGGCCGAACATGTTAGTACTAACATTTGTGTATTAAATACTTCCATTTCAGATAAGTTTTTCATTTATACAGAAAGATACTATATTTAAACAAATTATATTATTTGTGTAATATACGCGTATATACATATTTTCACCTACCAAAATTAATAATATTAAAATATTATGTAACGGCTGAATTGTTGACATAATGTACATGTTCGGTAGTTTACTTAACGCAGAAGATTCCATTTAGTATTCTAAATCAAACCTGGTAGGGAAGTCATACATCTCCGCTAGCATAGGCAAGATGAAACGCGTGGATATAACTAATGAATATAGGTTCTTGACTCTTCTGCACGTTGTCGCACTAATTCTGGTTAATCTCACCTTTGATTCCCTCATCTCCCTCATGCTCTCACAATCTCCGTTCATGTCTCCGACCTCGTCATCTATTGGTTTTTTTGTTTCTCTTTGAGTTCGTTGATGAATTAATGATGAGACAAACCCAATAAAAAAAATCGGTTCAAGCTTAAATTGAATAGAACTCATTGAACAAAAATAAACCCAATTCAGGCCAATTATTTTATTCGGTTCGGTTTTTTTTAATTTTTAAAAAAATTAAATTAGACCGAACTGAATTATGTCCACCCCTACTATGGAGTCTTTATTGTGTATTCTATTGAAAGAATTTTATTGATTATTTCAATTGTGTATATTCATACGGGAGTTAGGCCAATTGGTCAGGAGAGTGAGCCTATCCTTTTGCTCCCATGTTCGAATCTCCTTCCTATAAATTAGATTAATTTAGGGCTCGTTTGAGACTGTTTCTTTAGGAGGCACTTCTGCTCATAAGCTCTTCTAACAAAAGCGTTTTTATTATAAAGTTGAAAATTTTATAAAAAAAAATAGAATTGCTTCTTGAAAAAGCACTTGGGAGTGCTTTTCCAGAAAACGCTTCTATGGCCTAGAAGTACTTCTAAACTTTTCTGCCAAACGTCATCAATAGCGCTTTCGGTTGTCAGAAAGCGTTTTTAGCCTTTTCAAAAGCACTCCCAAACGAGCCCTTAAAGTAGTTTAGATTATCACTTATATCAAAGAAAAAATGCCAATAATTACTTCTTTTTTTTAAGAAGAAGAAAAAAAGAGAGCCTTGAGATTGATCTCATGTTTCGTCCACAAAAAAGATTGATGTCACGTGAACTCTCCGTGACATCTCACAGCCACTCGACTGCTCCGTCACTTTAACAGGCTTACAGCACTCCCCAACGATAGAATTCTGATTCTGAATAGTCTTAAGAAAAGCGCTTCAGTGTGCAGCGCTTGAGATCCGAACCATCAATGGCGTCAAGCAAGACTTTGCTGTCAGCAACAGCCGCAGTTATATTAGCAACGTCTCTCTTCTGGACCTTAACTTCGTCTTCATCATCGCCTTCTTCTGCCGACTCTATCGCCTTCATCAAGAAGACCATCGATTCCAACAAGATCGCCATCTTCTCCAAGTCCTATTGCCCGTATTCTCTTCCACTCTATTTCCTTTCATTATTTCTTGTAAATTTGCATGCACATCATCTGTTTGACTTAATTCAGACCCATTTCCTAATTTCATTTAAAAATAATCTGGAATAGAATAAATCTTCGATTGATTTATGTAGAATGAGGCCTTTATTGATTTTGTTGCCATTGAAGGGCTTCTGGGTTTTAAGGAAATGACTATTAAAAATCAAATTTGGGGTTTTACACAATGTTGTCTGTGATTTAGATTGAGCTTGTATACATTAAATTCGCCTTTTTTTTCCCTAATTTTTTATTTATTTGGGTACTTTGCAGGTACTGTAAAAGGGCAAAAGCTGTTTTCAAAGAGTTGAACCAAGTACCCTATGTAGTTGAGCTTGATGAGAGGGGTATGGTCACTTGAACCTTACTGATTCTGTCAAACTGTGCATGAAAAGACATAAAAAAAAGTAGGGAGCTTGTTGGTGAAATGTGTGATTGGTGCAAAATTGACTTTATGGTAGAAACCAATTTGATGAAATGACACCTAATTAGAGTAGTAAACTTGTTGTTGAGTTGTATGAAGGTGCATTAATTGTTCAATCTTATAACTACTAGACAGTACAAGTTTGCATGAACTTCCAGATTTTGTGCTTAGAATTTGCTTTTCAGGATTGCAGGTTGTGAATGTGAGATATTAGCTTGAATTTGCATTCAGGAGAATAGTTTGCCAACTCAAAAATGCTTCTTGTAGCATCACCCTTTTGACAGCTTTGTGCAGTTTTCTTTGAAATTTGAAGGCGTATATGCCTGTTTTGTGTGCATATACATGTACCATTTCCACTATCAGTTATTGATTGGAGATGGCAATGTGTTTCTTTCAGCTGACGGTCGAGATATCCAAGATGCTTTAGGTGAGCTGGTTGGGAGGCGTACTGTACCACAGGTGTGGGTGAAGGGAAAGTACATTGGGGGCTCGGATGGTAACTGGTTTTCCTTTCAAAATATTTTGTGATCTTTCTCTTTGTTTCTGGAAAGTTGATTGAACCAGGGATTACTAACAACTGATAAATATGCTGTTTTTTAGATACTGTTGAAGCATATGAAAGTGGAGAACTGGCAAAGCTTCTGGGCATTGAGGTCCAGCATAGGGAGGATCTTTAAATTGAATCATCAATTATCAGAAACTGGTAGCTGAATTCGTAGAGAATTTGAATGTAGTGCTTATGAAATAACTCCTTCCCTTACATGTGGGGGAGTATGGCAATCACTTTTGCATTTAGCTTGTATTTTTTTTATTTTTTATTTTTATTTTTTTGGATTACTGTATTTTAGTCTTTTACAGAGAATGATCTCTTGGATAAAAATAGTACTTGTAGTTGATGGACTGCTGTCTGCCTTTTCACCTCTACCGCAATTTGAACGTTATATTTGTATTTCAGTATAACATTTTCCTCTTCTTCTTTTTTTTTTTTTCTCTTGGATAACATAGTCACATTGGCACTTACTGAGACTAGTGCTCCTGTCTACTAAACATCAAACTTTCACTTAGATGTGGCACCAAGAACTTGGGTTACCTTTTCTTAGCCTGTATTACGCCTAATCGCGGAGCAAAATCTTGAAACAAAAATGATTTTGCCAAGACCGGAATGTGATGTCTTGGAAAGATAAGATATGGTTTGACAAGACAAAACCATTCTATTTTTGTTTTCATCTCATTCGCTAATTTTGTTGAGAATGATAGAAAAATAAAATGAAAACATCACCAAATAAGTAATGCATGCCCAAAACAAAACAAGAAAAGAGAAAAATAACTAAACGAACAAAATAAGCCAACCAACGAAAGGTCTTTTGTTGCTGTTTGTCAAATCCATCGTCTTTTGAACAAAAATGAAGAAGCATTGCAGCAAAAGAAAAAGGAACCCGGAATCCGATGACATTAGCGACGACGCCGCTTTCGCTGTCGTACTGGCAGCTCTGTCGTCTCCAAACCCCAACTCCCTCCGACCCTTAATCAAGAAATGCCTGAACAAACTCCGAAACTCCATCACCGATCCCATCCTCTCTCTTCTACCAGCTCTCCTCACTTTCAAGTCCCCCACCATAGCTTCCCGTGCCGCCGAGATGGTGGGGTCCGCCGCCCTCGAGTCCCTGGACATGAACCAGAGGATTTCTTCCGATGCTGGCATCATCAATGGCTTGCTAACCGCATTGGGTAGCTCCAAAACCAGACTTCCAGTGGCTGCCTGCCATGCCCTTTTGGATTTGTGCACTACTTCAGTCGGACGACGTCGTTTTGCTCATTCCTCTGCACTTCCCAGGCTTCTGTGAGTATGCTGACACTTATCTTGCTTTCGTTTGTTTTTCTTTTTGTTCAATTACTTGACTTGACATGTGATAGGTTCTTAGTTTTGGGTTTCTTCAGGTTCATAAATCTTCAATGATTTCAGTGTCTTTGTGCTCTGTCTCTGTGGATAGTGAAGGTATTACCTCTCTGAATATTGGGTTTGAGGAAGATGAACTTTCAGTTTTACTTCTTAATGCTGCAATCATTCTCATTAACACCTGTAACATTGAACAATTGGAGCACATCCCAACAAACCTCTTCCAAGCTTTCTTTGCCTTTTTGAGAAATCTGTGGGCAAAAGTGCGTAATGAGATGTTACTCAAAAACCCATTGGAGTCCAAACAAGGGGAAAACTTGTACATTAGCAACATTAGAATAAGTCATATGGCTGAAAGCCTGTTTAGGCTTTCCATTTGTGCTTCTCACCGTACCAAGCCTTTGCATTTTCATGTGGTTGAAAGGGGTATATTTGGTTTCTCTGAGTCTGGTTTTAAAGATTTTGTGTCGAACCACTGGGAGGTGTCACCCTTTCTTGTGCGACGGGGGCTGTCAGAAGGGGATTTAGTTGAGGTGGATGATATTTTTGGTCCATTTGTAGGATTGCTAAACTCAACAGGAAAATTTCCTTCCTTTCTTTCTTCTATGCTTCCAAAGATGGTTTCTTGTCTTCCTATTTCTTCAGATGAATTGAACATCCTTACTTTCCTGGAAGAGGTGAAAATTAAATTGGGTTGTCCTCTAATCTGCCAGCAGGACATTCGGGTTCTAAGAACAGACAGCCACCTGAAGAGGGAGGTGCATTTCTTTCAGGAGAGTTTGAACTCTTGCTGCATAGAGGATCCCCATTACTTTACTATTGAGGAAGTTTTAAAATGCCAAGAAGCATACAAAGAGGGTTATACAATTGCACTCCGTGGAATGGAGTTTCGCTTTGAGAGTCTTGCTGCCATTGCAGATGAATTAGCATCTCTCTTTGGTCAGCCATCAGTTGGTGCCAATATGTACTTGACACCACCTAATTCCCAAGGCTTGGCTCGTCATTACGATGACCATTGTGTGTTTGTATGCCAACTTGTTGGGACTAAGCAATGGAGACTTTTTCCTCAATCAAATGTGCAGTTACCTCGATTGTATGATCCTCTTGATCGGCTACATGGTTCAGAAGTTCAGAATTCAATGGCTGAATGCAAACAATTTTTGCTGAGGGAAGGTGATATTTTGTATATTCCAAGAGGTATTCTTCATGAGGCATGCACCGAAAATATTAGTTTTGATGGATCTGATGGCTATTCCTTACACCTTACACTCGGTATCGAGGTTGAACCTCCTTTTGAGTAAGTTATGAATTGATGTTGAGAATAAAATAATATCTAATGATGATCAATTTTCTTAAATGCAACAGCCTTGGCTTATTTTATCAAATATATGCATGAAATAACTTGCAAATCCTATGCATAGTCCATGAGAGTCAAACATAGGACCATTGATTACCTGGTTACTGATCTCAAAGTTGCAACCAACTGCTCTAGTTTAGAGTCTATTCGTCCTTGAATTATGAAACATTGTGCATTTGCAGATATTATTTGTTTAATTAGTTGTTCATTAAAATATTAATGGGTATGTTGTTTTGTGGCCAGTATGTGATTGATAGAACATTAACAAGTAGGATGTTTATTCGGTAGATACATGATTCATTATGTTGCAGAGTATGGAGGAGGGTATGGGCAAACAATATTTTTTTTAATCATATATCAGCTACATAGTCTCTAGAAATTATTATTTTTTCTCCTCTTAGGTGGAATTTTTTTCAGGATTATAAGGGCATGTTGCAATGACGCTTGATTCAGTGCCTGACCTACAACTTATAGAATAAGATCTAAATAGAGGGAATGGGTGGCCTATTCTAAATGTCTTGTGTGCTTGCCTATACTTCTAATACCAGTAAAAATCGGATTAATAGCATCTCAAGAATGCTCAATGAATGAGCTAGTAATTGTCTGGAGTCCTGCTAACTGTATCCCTATCCACTTTACCCCAAGACCCCAAGAGCTGTCACTGAGTCCTAAGCATTTGTGGGTGCAACTTTTCCGCAGCAAAGGAATTTGATCTGTTAATCATTAAGAATGAGACTTGGGTCATCACAAGAGTTGGTCAATTATACAAACCATTGGAATTGTCAAGAACTCAAGGATTTTATGTTCTGGTGAACTTTAATTCTTTGATTGACATTAAAGCTTTTTTATCTGCTTCTTTGTCTCTATGCTGTTGGTGAAGTAGATAGTCATGAAATTCCGAAATACAGCCTGTTGTGGCCTAATGGTGTCATATGGTTCAAGTTGGTATCATTGATATATCAGTAATACATTGTGAAATTATACTTGATGTTTTGATTTTAAAATTTTCAGTCTCCCCCTATGTCCCCCCTCCACCTTCTCTCTCAGCTCATACAATTGTTTCAAATTTCTCCAAAAAGGCCAATTTGATATTATGGTCCTTGCACACGTCAAAATAATTCTCTTACATTTTGATATGACTGTCTTCTGTATAGACTGGAAAATATTTTGATTGCTTAAAATATTTTTTCTTTGAAATATTTTTCTGAGGCTCAACAATGCATGTGGGCTGATCCACATTCGTGAACAAATCATATGGTATCGATTAGTAGACATCTTTTTCTACAAGACAGATAGACAAGTTCTTGGACCCCATGTGCATGGAAAAGCTGATGCCTTGACATGCCTTATTTAATGTAATATTGGAGTATATTTCAATTTTTACCTTAACACTAAAGATGTGTCATAATCTACGTTACATAGAATAGTACAATGAAACTACACATACACGTGCACGCATGTGAATATCGAATTGATACTCCGTGATTATTGTTTACCAACAGGCTGTGATGTGTGTGAATACTATAAGTCAAGCACACACATATTGAAAATGTATTTTAATTTTGCTGTGATTACATCTAAGCAATCACTTTGTGAGTTCATCTCTATTTCACATAGGTTGAAGAAAGTGAAGTTGATTGTCTTCTGTTTTGAATTTGAATGTGTGTACAATGTTTGGTCAAAATGTAGTTTTAATCCACTTTAGTATTGCCCATTAGACTTTTTTGTTCACTCTTGGATTTTTGATAAAAAAAATCACTTTGTTTCAAATAAATTGATAAATCTGAAATCACAAGAAAAAATAAATATCTGATGATGAAGATTAGTATTAACCCTACTACACTCTCACATACTCCGCTTCTCATTTTTAAATGCAGGTGGGAGGGATTTATTCATGTTGCATTCTTCAGTTGGAACGAGAACCAAAAACAAGCTCATAATTCTTTTGAGTCTTCGTCTGGAATTATTCAAGATATATCTGTGAATTTGTTGCATGCTGCCATTGGGATGATCGGTGATTCTGATTCTACCTTTCGGAAGGCTTGCTTGGTTGCTTCAGTTTTTTGGCAATCACATACCCTTAATTGGCTTGATTTGAATCAGAGAGTCATTTTTTGTCAGCTGATTGACAAAACTAATACAGAGTCACACTTCTTGGAAGTGCTCAGGAGCATAGAATTAGCAATTCATAAAAACAAAGATCCATTCCAACGAATTAGATGGCTTGGGTCTCTCAATCTGGGGGAGGAAAGCAGTCCAAATCATGACCAGTATATGCCTTTGATGGGAATGAAAAACTTGTTGTCATTATGTATTCAACACAAAGACGAGGTAGAAGCTGCATTCCAGCGGCTAAGATCTAGGTTTAGTAGTGAGGTGATATTTGAGGATGCAATAGAGAGCTATAAGATACTGCTAGAGAAATATAGGAAGACCAGAAAGCAATATATGAATGGAATGGTTTCACTCCATTATGAATTATGAGTTATCTTACATGTTAGCTACCACCTATCTGTTCTCAATTATAGCTAGTTCCAACACCGTGAGGCCCTAATGGACAGGAATGGATCAGCTACTTCTTGCACATTGAAATCTGATTCCTCATGTTAATGAACCAGCTTCATACCAAATGTAACCAGCTTATGGTTAAAGTGTCATCGCCTTCTATAACTACAGCTCAAAGGTATGTAATGCATCACTCTTGACTAAGATTTTATTCTTCCGAACAACAGCTATGTAGGTAAAGGGAAATGATAAAAAGAAACATGAATACTGCACTGATAGTAAGGACAAATTTCATCAGTTGTTCTTTCCGATTATCCCATATTTAATGTATTGATGAGATATATAAATACATATCTGCATACATCTCAATCAAGAAGGCTAAGCAACAGTCTATGGCTTGGGATGTCTGGGTGTTGGATGAGTAGTCACTCCATGGTAATCAATGTGATAAATAAGCTCGTCTAAATCGCTGTTGCTGTTTGCATATTTGGTTGCTACAGGAATTTCTTCAACCGTCGATGTTTCTGACTTTCCATCAATGACCTGCATGTAGCACAACCTCAATGATGGTTTTGGATAAGAGTAGAATATAAAGACAATTATTTATTTAAGAAAAAGTTCAGATAAATTATCTTAACCGAATTAGATAGTTGTAGGCTACAAACTCGAAAATGAAAATAATATGTTCGAAGCTAGCAGACTGTTCAGGAACTGCACATCATGAATAACATGCTTGAGCAGGATTCATTTTCAAATAGAATTTGGCATGCTGTCTGAGAACTGAGAACAGATCCAATTCGGACCTTATATAATAGGTCAAGTTTCTCTCAGGAAAAACTTTCTGAAATGCCTGAATTTGGAAGGAGAATATTATTCATTTATTTGAAAGAAAAACCTACCTTGAGTTTTTGATAGACATGTTTGTTGTTGGTCAATGGCATGCTTAATTTTCTCATGGGTTTCCTTCCAGGGAGAAAAGCCAGAGAAGAGGAACTGATATTGTGGGAAGAAAAATAGAGAACTGCGATAAGGAAACATAAGAAGATGATGTACAAAGATTTCATCATTTATACAGCTGAAATGAAAACTTGCTATACTTGGAGAGGGAAAAGTTGGAGCACCAATATATATAGAGCTTTGCAGTGCAAGAGAGAGTGAGAGAGAGAGAGAGAGAGAGAGAGTGTGTGTGTGAATTATTGATGAAGGGACTGGGGAAACATGTCTGAGCCCATGCTTGTGATTCTGCTGCTTATGAAAAGGAGAGAGGCCAAAGACCAACCCGGAAGGGTGTAGACAGGTTTGTCCCCGTGCTGTTTCCAAATTTACTCACTTTGAAGACTCACTTGTGGCATTCTAACCGTGAAAAGTAAGTCCTTTTTCCCTCTGGTGTTGCGGGGCAGGCAGGCACGTAAAGAGAGAGAACTTAGTTCACGTTTGTGTTTCATAACAAACAAAGCCACTCACGATTGAATCATCATCCATGTTTTGTCCTCATCAATAACGGCTATTTTTGGTCATGTCACTCTTTGCCTCTTGCCCCCACTCTCTCAATATTTTGATTGTTGAAGGCATCTTTTTTTGCTTTTGTTTTTGTTTTTCAAGATGCAATTTCTGATGGTTTTGTTATCAAATCAATCCCTGGCCCTTGGTGTCGTTTCATCATTCATATTTCCAGTTTATATTTCATTTTTGAAAAAAAATTAGCTTTTACCAAACAATCGGTGTACCATTTTTACTTCCTGCAGAGTGTAGATTTCAATATGAGCTTTCATATTTATTTCTTTAGGCAAAGAGTTGCCTAAACCCATCAGAGATTCTCCACAAATCGCAAGACCTGGTACAGATTCTTTACTAAGATTTTGTAGTGGCTATGGATCATGGGTCTAAAAGCTTGGTGCATTGATTTTAGGCTTTGATCGAGAAGTGTCTGTCAATTTAAGATCAAATCTGTGGCCCTTTTGGTAGGGTCTGATGGAAAAACTCTCACATAAAGTCCAAGGAGGGAGTCTACCTGAGTCATTAGTTTGATAAATAACGAATAATGCTATTTGTACAACATTTACTCATCAATTTTACACTTTTTTATATATATAAAATACAAGTAATAGTTTATGCTACAATGGAGAGGGGGTTTCTAACACACGCATTAGTTTAATAAGGTGTCATGGGCGTTCAAACGTGATACCATTGATCTGTAACTTCAAGTCCTTTTTCACTTTGACTAGATTCCGTTGGCTATCAATTTTACACCTTTTAAACAAGAATACCTGATCAAATTTGTCTAACAGTAGTGAGACTGCTCTCTGATGCAAATCCATCTCGGCGCGATCTCAGATTAACCGCTGTGGTTCACCAGCAATCAAATGGACGTTTTAGTTTTATCATTTGACAGCCCAAATTTAAGTAGTCCAGCTCAAGTTATAATAATAAGAAGCTGGCCTGATTATATGTAACATGATCTTCAAGCTGTGCAAACTCAAGTAGTCAATCGTGAATAATTTTTTAAATATAAAATGTAATAATTAAGAATGAAATACATTTTCAACATAAACTTTAGTAATAAGCCTTTACATATATACACAGTTTACAGCAGCTAATAAGGAAATAATTTAATGCAATATAAATTCCCAAAGTCAAACTATTAGGAAACTAAATCAAATTACAGAAGATTGTTTGGGAAAATGAGTGATCTCATTTAGGAGGAGATCATGGTTTAAAGAAGTGTTCGTAAAGCATATATATACAAACCCTGGCTGCTGTAGAATTTTTCTACAAATTAAAAATCCAGATATGACCTTTCTCCCTCATCAAATCCCATAATATGGTAGTGATTTGTTTTGAAAGCACATTCCTAATAGTAATGGATAATGCTATAAACAACTCTTATCGATAAACGAAAATTGGGAAAAAATGGATCACACTATATATATACAGAGTACAGTTGCGCGGCTCTTGGGCTCTGGAGAAATTTAATTATCTTTAACATATTTAAATATTCACTAAATAAATAATAATTAAAACATAATTACTAATTAAGGTAATTCGAAAAGGCTAAGATATTACTTAATTACCTATATTAAATTAAAGAAGTTGGCTAGTAAAACAAAAGTAAAGAAAATAATTAAAATAAAATAAAAATAAAATAAAACCTCTCCTGACGAAGGTTCGTCACCATAGGTCTATGGCGGCAAAATTTGCTGGGTTTTAAATTTTTTTTTTCAGAAAATGTATAGCCGCACGGCTATACTAATTTTTAAAAAATTAGGTGGAACGGGTATAGCCGCGCGGCTATACTATTTATAAAAAACAAAAGAGGCTCGCCCAGCGATTAGTGCCACCTGGCCGGACGGCTATACTATTTTTAAAAATTAAATCTTTAAAAACCAGGTATAGCCGCCCGGCTATACGATATATATATTAAAAAAACCCAGCGCTAGGCGCCACGTGTCAAATAAGTAAAGCCAACCGGCTGTACTATTTTAAAAAAAATTAGAAAAAACCGAGTATAGCCGCGTGGCTATATGATTTATAGATATTAATTTGCTAGTTTCAACATCCAAAGCAGACATCGAAGTATAGAACCACCAATAGCTAATTAGAAATACATATTGAAAACTTCATCGGACATAGTAGAGAGTAATAATACCACACAATCAATTTCAATAGAAAGCTAGAAACACATATATATGGATTGTCAACGACAAAAATCGTAACTGCTTACACATTTTGTGATGATGATATTGATGCAGTTGCAATATTGGGGATGTTGGTGAAGGGTTTAGGGTATATGAAACACTGCAATTTTCTTATATCCCTCGTGTTCGTATACGTATACAACACATTTTTGACGCTACAATACATATGTGTTTGGTATTTTTTTTCTCATTACACTACGGTACAAATCGCGATAGCAGGGGTTGACAAGCTCTACCATGTGTGGTCATGGTAATATATAATTTTGATTTGTTTAAAAATTAAATCTTTAAAAACCTGGTATAGCCGCCCGGCTATACGATATATATATATATTAAAAAAACCCGGCGACTAGGCGCCATGTGTCAAATAAGTAAAGCCAACCGGCTGTACTATTTTTAAAAAAATTAGAAAAAACCGAGTATAGCCGCGTGGCTATACGATTTATAGATATTAATTTGCTAGTTTCAACATCCAAAGCAGACATCAAAGCATAGAACCACCAATAGCTAATTAGAAATACATATTGAAAACTTCATCGGACATAGTAGAGAGTAATACCACACAATCAATTTCAATAGCAAGCTAGAAACGCATATATATGGATTGTCAACGACAAAAATCGTAATTGCTTACACATTTTGTGATGATGATATTGATGCAGTTGCAATATTGGGGATGTTGGTGAAGGGTTTAGGGTATATGAAACACTGCAATTTTCTTATATCCCTCGTGTTCGTATTCGTATACGTATACAACACATTTTTTACGCTACAATACATATGTGTTTGGTATTTTTTTTCTCATTACACTACGGTACAAATCGCGATAGCAGGGGTTGACAAGCTCTACCATGTGTGGTCATGGTAATATATAATTTTGATTTGTATTTATAAGTTTTGGTGCCTTTTATGAAAGAAAATTAAAATCACAAGCTCTTATAACAGGTGGACAATCTTGAAAAGTTGAGTTTACACAGATTCAGAATTTCATCAATGTCATTATTATTAGGCAACAACAAGTCATCGTGATTGACAACTGCCGTGCATAGCTGATCATGCTTCAGATCCAAA